TGAGAATCAACCTTGATTTCTTTCCTTCCCTTCTTCCCTCTTCCTCACATTTATCAAGTGCTGTTGGTTCTATCTATAGCTACATCTCACCATCGCCATTCTACTGCTCTTGCCCAAGTCACCATTTCTTGCCTTATCTCCCTACTACCCTTCTTGACTCCCTTATTTTTTTTTTATAAATTAATTTTTATTGGTGTTCAATTTACCAACATACAGAGTAACACCCAGTGCTCATCCCGTCAAGATTCTTGACTCCCTTAAATCTCTATAGAGGTGCTAATGTTTTTTCTTTTTTTTTAAAACACATAAGTCAGAGCATATCACAGACCTAATTTCAAAAACTCCAATGGCTTTCTATGAAACTTAATATAAAAACTAGACTCTTGCCTAAGACCTGGTTATCTGGCCATCTTTTCAGCTTCATCTCCTATTTTAGTATATGTGCTTGCCAAAGCGAGCACTCCGCTTCATCTCCTACCTCTCTGCCCCTTGCTCAGAAACTGCCGTAAGTTCTTTCCTGCCTCGTAGATTTTACACTTTGCCTAGAAGGCTCTTCTCTATGGCTATTATGCTCTACCATTTAAGTCTTAGTTTATTTATTTTTTATTTTTATTTAAATTCAGTTATCCAACATATAAGTACATCATTAGTTTCAGGTATAGAATTCAATAATTCATCAGTCGCATATAACACCCAGTGCTTATCATATCACATGACCTCTTTAATGCCCATCTCCCAATTCCCCATCCCCCACTCGGCTCCCCTCCAGCAATTCTCAGTTTGTTTCCTATGATTTGTCTTCCTCTCTGGTGACTTCCCATTCAGTTTTCCTTCCTTTTTTCTATAATTCTCTGTGCCGTTTCTTATGTTCTACACATGAGTGAAACCATGTGATAATTGTCTTTCTCTGACTTATTTCGTTCAGCAGAATTCCCTCCATTCCATCCATGTTGATGTAAATGGTAAGATATCATCTCTTCTAATGGCTAAATAATATTCCACTGTATATATATAACATATCTTCTTTATCTATTCATCTGTCAATGGACATCTCGGCTCTTTCTATAGTTTGCTGTTGTGGATATTGCTGCTATAAACATTGGGATTCAGGTGCCCTTTGGAACATTACATTTTTTTTTTAAGATTTTATTTATTTATTCATGAGAGACACAAAAAGAGACAGAGAGAGAGAGGCAGAGACACAGGCAGAGAGAGAAGCAGGCTCCATGCAAGTAGCCCAATGTGGGACTCGATCCCCGATCCCGGGTTCAACTATGAGCCACCCAGGTGTCCCAGGATCATTACATTTGTATCTTTGGGGTAAATACCTAGTAGTGCAATCTCTGGGTTGTAGGGTAGCTCTATTTTTAACTTCTTGAGGAACCTCCGTACTGTTTTACAAGTGGCTGTACCAGTTTACATTCCCACCAACGGTGTTAAGGTTCCCCTTTCTCTGCATTCTCACCAACATTTATTGTTTCCTGACTTGTTAATTTTAGCCATTCTGACTGATAAGACGTGGTATCTCATTGTGGTTTTGACTTGTATTTCCCTGATGCTAAGTGATGTTGAGCATTTTTTCATATGTCTGTTGGCCGTTTGTATGTCTTCTTTGGAGAAATGTCTGTTCGTGTCTTTTGCCTATTTCTTGCCTGAATCATTTGTTTTTTGGGTATGGAGTTTGATAAGTTCTTTATAGATTTTGGATACTGGCCCTTCACCTGATATGACATTTGCAAATATCTTCTCCCATTCTGTAGTTTGTCTTTTAGTTTTGTTGACCATTTCCTTTGCTGTGCAGAAGCTTTTTATCTTGATGAAGTTCCAATAGTTCATTTCTGCTTTTGTTTCCCTGGCCTTTGATGATGTGTCTAATCTAATAAGAAGTTGCTGGGGCTGAGGTCAAAGAGATTGTTGCCTGTGTTCTATTCTAGGATTTCAGTGGATTCCTGTCTCACATTTGGGTCTTTCATCCATTTTGAATCTATTTTTGTGTATGGTATAAGAAAGCAGTTTCTTTCTTTCAGTTTCATTTTTCTGCATGTGGGTGTCCAATTTTCCCAGCACCATTTCTTGAGGGGATTGTCCTTTTTCCAGTGGATAGTCTTTCCTGCTTTGTCAAAGATATGTGTTTTTCCATTTCTTTGTATTTTCCTCAATTTCTTTCATAAGTGTTCTGTGGTTTTTAGAGTACAGATCCTTCACCTCTTTGCTTAGGTTTATTCCTAGGTATCTTACATTTTTTGGTGCAATTGTAGATGGAATCAACTCCTCAACTTCTCTTTCTTCTGTCTCATTGTTAGTGTATAGAAATGCAGCTGGATTCTGTGCATGAATTATATACTGCTATGTTGCTGAATTACTGTATGAGTTCTAGCAGTTTTGGGGTGGAGTCTTTTGGATTTTCCACATAGAGTATCATGTCATCTGTGAAGAGTGAGAGTTTGACTTCTTTGCCGATTTGGGTGTCTTTTATTCTTTTTGTTGTCTGATTGCTGAGGCTAGGACTTCTAGTACTATGTTGAACAACAGTGGTGAGAGTAGGCATCCCTGTCATGTTCTTGACCTTAGGGGAAAAGCTCTCAGTTTTTCCCCATTAAGAATGGTCTTCTGTGGAGGGTCCTGTCCCACTGATTCTCAGGTGCCTGCCAGGGTGCAGTTGCACTGCCCCTTGCCAGGGGGCTGGGCTCCATGGAAGCTGCTTTGGGTTGCTCTGTGTGGCTTTTGTTCCCTGAAGGCTTTCTGTGCCACTTTAGAGGATGGGAAAAACCCCAGTAAAAATGGCTGTGCCCCAGTCTCCAACTCTGGAGCTGAATAATCATGGCCCTCCTCTTCAGTGCACCCTCAGAGAAAAGCAGTCAATTGCATTTGTGTGTGCCAAATTCTACAGACTCATGAAGTGTGCACCTGTGCCAACCTTCCCTGGGGAGGGAGGAGGGTCACCATGGTTCTCCCTCTTCCTGGGCCCCTGCTTGGAGAGCAGTTCCCCGATTGTGCCACAGTTTGAGGTTTATGGCAAGACAGCTGAGAGCCCACTCCTGGATTTGCTGATTGCAAATGGCTTCCCCATTCCAATGCTTGGGAACTCGGCAGCACTCAGGCACCCCCATTCTGTGACCTTGGGGATCCTGAGACCACACTGTCCCACCTAGGCTTCTGTCCCACTTGGCCCCCTGAGTACCTTTCAAGCAGGGACGCCCCTAACAGGGGCAGACTTCTAAAAGTTCTCCTTTTGCACTCCACTGCTATATTACTCTCTGGTAGCTGGCTTCCTGAGGCTCCCTCCTCCCTTGGTTTATCTTCTGGTATATCCCCTCAGATTCACTTCTCTGCACCTCCTACCTCACAAAAAGTGGTCACTTTTCTATTTGTAGAATTGCAGCAAATCTTTTCTTAGATCTCTGGTTGAATTCATAGATGTTCAGAATGATTTGATAGGTATCTAGTTGAATTCAAGGGACCAGATGAAATGAGGGTCCCCTGCTCTTCCACCATCATCCCTCTAAGTCTTAGTTTAAATTCCTCTCTGAAGAGGCTGCATCTGGCTCTACAATTTAATGTTTTTTTTTAAGATTTTATTTATTTATTTGAGAGAGAGCGCAGCAGCAGCAGAGCAGCAGAGACACAGGCAGAGGGAGAAGCAGGCTCCATGCAGGGAGCCCGACGTGGGACTCGATCCCGGGTCTCCAGGATCATGCCCTGGGCTGAAGACAGCGCTAAACTTCAGAGCCACTGGGGCTTCCCACAATTTAATGTTTTATTAAATTCTTCCTCTAGTCACTCTATACATCTCCCTGTTTTAATTTCTTTATAGTGCTTATCAGCATAAGAAAAAAATTTTTCCCTCTTTCTCTCCCTTCCACTCTTCTTTCTTTCCTTCCTTCCTCCTTCCCTGTCCCCATTCCTCTTTTTTTCTGTCCTCTCTCCTTTGTTTACTTGTGTTTCTGATTCTAATCCAGATTGTAAGTGTAATCAGAGATACACTGGCATATTACACATACACTGTGACTATGAATAAACTTGTCTATTTCTATGGATTTGTCTTTATCTGTCTATGATATCAAAAAGGTGATCCAGTTACTTTTCATAACAAAATAGTGATTAAGCATTACATTAAAAGTGTCAAATATAGAATATGTGAAAAAAAGAACAGACATTTTCTTCAAAGAAGGGGGAGGGAAAAAATAATAACACATGCTTCATTTTGCCATTTTGCTCGAATTTGTTTTTCTTTTTAGGCAGATTGAAATAGTAAGCAGAACGGTGAGTGGGTAAAGTCCTAGAAAGGTACAGGAGGAGCAGGAAAGACAGGGAGTACTGAACTAAATAAAGTGAAAATAATAGGATGGGTGTAGTTTAGCAAAAGTTAGATCACCTCATATTACATGCCAGTACTCGACTCTTGGTTTTCTGGACTAATAGGACAGAAAAGAACTATGAACAAATCCAAAGCAAGAGGGTAATTTAGAAAATTATTATTTGGTTTTAGAATTCAGCCAGAAGTACATGAACCACAGATGTTTACTACCCCTCCCAGGACCAAGTTCATTTTCAGCAGCTCAGATGCAACAACTGACTATAAATGAAGTAAGTAGAACAAAGCTACCCTGGTATCACCTTGCTCAATCTCCATAACTAGCTTTACACATTTTGCTCAGGATTTTATTTTATTTTTTTTTTAAAGATCTTTTTTTTTTTAATTTTTTTAAATTTTTATTTATTTATGATAGTCACAGAGAGAGAGAGAGAGGCAGAGACATAGGCAGAGGGAGAAGCAGGTTCCATGCACTGGGAGCCCGATGTGGGATTCGATCCCGGGTCTCCAGGATCGCGCCCTGGGCCAAAGGCAGGCGCCAAACCGCTGCGCCACCCAGGGATCCCTGCTCAGGATTTTAAATTAAAAGAGCTTCTGGTAAAAAAAAAAAAAAAAAAAAAAAAAAAAAAAATATATATATATATATATATATATATATATATATATATATATATACTTGAGAAAAGTTCTTGTTCAGTCTGAAATGCCTGTTCGTGTAGTTTTGCTTCTTTGTCTATTTCCCATCCTCTAACTAGGCTTGTTCATCCTTAGAGACTCAGCCTAAGTTCTGTGAAGATCTGCCCATGATTCAGTCCAGTTGAGTTTTTTTCCTACTGAAACTTCTATAACTGCTATTGTTTGCTTAGTAATTATTCCATGAACATGTGTCTTGCCTCTTTAATTGGATTATAAGCTCTCTAGATGTTACAAAATATGTGTATCATTTATTTTTTTGGATTGTAAAGCATTCCTGGCCCAGTTGTGTACAACTGGAGGGTGTTAAAAGTGAATGAAAACAGGTTATTTGGGCCCTATTCACTTATCCTTTTTCAAAGTGGAGAACTTAACAGCCCTTCAGGATGAGCTTTGGTCTTTCTACATATACATCATTAAGGACATTTTGCTTTTTATTTCTGCCATTAATTTAAAAAGTGATGGGAAAGTCACTTTTGATTTGCACATGAAATACTGTGTTTTTCAGAATGAAGACATATTCCGTGAGTCATTTTTGTTATGAGTAACTTAGAACATTTGTGGATAGTCTATTTCTGGGTAAAATAGTTCAAAATAAGATTTTGGTAATGCATGAGTGATACATATTTAAAACCAAAAATAAAATATCTTTTTGAATGTTTTTTGCCTTTGTAGTAAATTCATTCATTCGAATTGTTTTCTCTCAAGGCCCAAAAATGTGAGGGCATTGCCAGCTTTGAGTTTATCCTGCAAAAGAAAAGAAAAGGTTTTATTTTATTTTATTTTATTTTAGATTTTATTTATTTATTCATGAGAGACGCACAGAGAGAGGCAGAGACACAGGCAGAGGGAGGAGAAGCAGGCTCCATGCAGAGAGCCTGATGCGGGACTCTATTCCAGGCTCTGGGATCACGCCCTGAGCCAAAGGCAGATAGATGCTCAACTGCTGAGCCACCCAGATATCCCACGTTTTATTTTAAAGCATTATTTAATGTTTATTTCAAAATACTTTACTGAATGTCTTTATCAGTTTTTTTATGATTTTACTTATTTTTTTATGAAGATTTTACTTATTTATTCATGAGAGACAGAGAGGGAGAGAGGCAGAGGCATAGGCAAAGGGAGAAACAGTTCTCCCTGCGAGGAACTCGATGTAGGACTCATCACAGAATCCCAGGGCCATGACCTGAGCCAAAGGCAGATGCTCAACCACTGAGTCACCCAGGCACTCCAAGATTTTACTTACTTATTTGAGAGAGACAGAAATAGTTACACAGATAGTGAGAGAGAGCATGAGTGGGGATGAGAGGGAGAAGCACACTCTGCTGAGCATGGAGCATGATGAGGGACTTGATCCCAGCACCCTGGGATCATGACCTGAGCTGAAGGCAGACAGTTAATGGACTGAGCCACCCCTTTTATCAGGTTTTTAAAAGATGAATTTCCCAATGGGAGAGAAAAATATGAGCAGGTTAAACAATGAATCTCTTGACTCCTGTTTTGTCTCACTATTTAAAATCTAAGTTTGAAACTTGGTCATGGGAAGAAAGGAGAATTATAAGGGGGTGAATCCTCTTAGGAAAAATGACCTTCTTAGAAACCTCTGTAGAACTCTGTAATGGGTTTCAAGGACCATTTAGAGGCAAATAGAGTTGACCGTCCAACAACATGAGTTTGAATGGCACAGGTTGGCTTACATGTGGATCTTTTTTCAGTATATATATTGGAATTTTTTTTTCTTCTGAGGATTTTATTTTTTTCTTTTTAAGATTTTATATATCCATTCATGAGAGACACAGAAAGAGAGAGAGGCAGAGACACAGGCAGAGGGAGAAGCAGGCTCCATGCAGGGAGCCCGATGTGGGACTTGATCCCGAAACTCCAGGATCAGGCCCTTGGCCAAAGGCAGGTGCCAAACTGCTGAGCCACCCAGGCGTCCCTGGAAATTTTTTTTTGTGGTTTGTGACAATTTGAAAAAAATCACAAACTGTGGAGCCTAGAATTACTGAAGAAGTTATAAAATGTTAGTATTATTCTAAGAATACAGTGTATAATACATGTAAGGTATGAAATATATGTTAATCAACTATTTATGTTATTGGTAAGGCTTTTTTAGTTAACAGCAGGCTATTGGTAGTTAAGTTTTTAGGTAACCAAAGGTTATATATGGATTTCAATATATAGGGGTCAGCGCCTGTGTTGTTCAAAGGTCAACTGCATAGAGAAAAGGTACAGTTTAAGTCTGCGAGACAGGAGAGCTGGAAATAGTGCCCAGAAGTCATCCTGATATCCTTCAGTTTCTACACATATGTGTGGTTCCTTCACATGGCCCTGAATAAAAGGTAAGCTCTTTTGGCATAAGAGAAGTAATAGATGAAGCATATCAGAATATGGTACAAATATGTACATTTATAGTTTTCAGATGAAAGAGGACTGACAAAATTCTCCTTACTTTCTTCCTAGTTATAGACCAGGTCAACCCCACAGAAAGAATTGTGAGTTAAAGGGATAACTTAATTGATATATATCCAGCTTGCAAAGAGCAAGCATGTAGCTCAGAGTAGAAGGAAACATGTATGAGGTTATGTAACATCTGTGGATATGAATACATCTCTATGTATCTTGACCACTTCAGGGTTCTTACACAGTCTGCGAGAGTGGGTGATTTGAGGCAGGGACCTCTTACTCAGGATTCTTCCCTGGTATACACTTGGGCCATCCTCCTCTAAAGGAAGACTTAGAAATGACTATTGCTATTCTGACAAACTATTTGCTTTACTTTTAAAAATAGGTTGGTACCAATTATTGCTTGAAGAAAATATATTTTGGTGTGTTGGTTTGCGGTTAGGTCCATGTGCTATAATCTAATGGTTAATATTGCCTTTGGCAAATCACCCAACACCCAAATCTTGTTTTCTTCCTTTGCATCTACATGATGGAATGCTTCTGCTTGTTTACCTACCAGTGTTGTTTTCATCATCAAATGGGTTTATTTCATTTAAAAAAATTTTTAGTGAAATTTACCTTCATATGGCTCAAAATTCAAAGAGTATAAAATGGATGCTTCCTTTCACTACTACCACCCAACCAGTACTTTTTCCTTCTAGCGTTATCAATTTCTTGTCTGTTTTCCCAGATACTTTATGCATATATAAGCAAATACTTATTTTAGATATATAGATTTTTTTCACAGATGATAGTATATTATACACAAATGGAAGTACACTATATGCATTGTTTTGTACCTTGTTTTTTAAACTTAATTTTTCTTGGAAATTGATTTTTAATTTCTTATGGCTTTATACATTCCATTGTATGGATATATTATTTATTTATCCCCTGTAGATTGTTTTCAGTCTTTTATTATAAACAATTTTACAGTGAGTAACTTTGAACAGAATGTCCTGAATTTGTGACAGTGTAAAATTTTCATGGAAGAGTTTTTTAGAACTTTGACCTTAAAAGTCATAAGCACATAAGATTAAATAACTAGAGGTATAAAATAATAATAATTGTTATTCCATTAAAGGTTTAATCAGTATACTTAGGGTAATTTAGTTTTAGTTTGATTTTGGTTAACTTCATAGAAAGTTTTTCATTTTTAATGTTTGTTGTAAAAAGAAAAAGTGAAAAAAATCTTACTACAGCTTCCTACTTTAAATAAATAAACATTTAACAATCCAATACTCTTCTTAGTACTTTAAAGATGGGTAAGTGGCAAAGGAGAAACTTCCTGTATAAAGCAGCCTGAAGTTTCTGTTAATAATTTGCAATCAGTATACATAGAATGGACTCTTCTTGGAATCTGTTACTGTGCTTCATGCCTACTGAGAAGAGTTGATTAGATATATCCTTAATGATTCAAGCGGAGAGTAAGAGTCCAAGGGAGCTTGGATTCTAGTTTAGAAGAAAGCCTGGAATTATGCAAAAGGGTTATTGACTGAGACTTAAAAAAAAAAAAAGATTTTATTTAGTTAGAGAGAGAGAGAGAGAGAGAGAGTGCGCACATGAGCCTGAGGAGGAGCGGAGGCAGAGGGAGAAGCAGACTCTCCCACTGAGCAGAGAGCCCAATGAAGCTCAATCTCAGGACCTCTGGGTCATGACCTCAGCCGAAGGCAGATGCTTAACTGAGCCCCATGACTGAGACTTTTGTAAGATTTGTTAAGAGTTTATATGTACCTGTGTCTTCATCTTTGGCCACCCTTGACCTCAGTTGTGATTGGCAGTGACTCCCTTAGGAAGAACTTATTTCGTTGTGGGGTAGGGATGGGATGAGAGGGGGATGACAAAAGAGAGGGGAGTGAGGACACGGATTATCATTTTAAACTCATCTTGGTTCATAAGCCTATGGGGTAGAATGGGTAGTGGCAGCATTGTAGTACATTTTAATATCAGTTACCCACCCTAAAAGTCAAATGCCAAAAGAAAAAAATCCAGTTACGTGAGAGTTCTGGTTCCTTGAGTCCTTGTTAATCAAGACTTTAGTCTCCATATCCAAATAACCAGAATCATTACAATTTTTGAGATTGGTAGATTTGTTACAGAAATGTTAAAGGAGAACCTTGGAAATTTTTCTTGTTCATCTAACATACAAACATAAATATATGATTATCATATGCTTCTTTAGTTTTCATTTTTGGCCTTATGAATTTAGTTGTATTAGATTGACTTTCAGTTTTTTAAAAATAATTTAAAAATTTTAATTCCAGCATAGTTAACATACAGTGTTATATTAGTTTTAGATGTACAATGTAGTGATTTGGTTGTTCTACTCAGTGCTCTCAAGATAAGTGTACTCTTAATCCCCATCACCTATTTCATGCCGCGCCCCCAACCTCTCCTCTGGTAGCCATCTACTTGTTCTCTATGGTTAAGAGTTTTTTGGTTTGTCTCTTTTTCCACCTTTATTTGTTTTATTTCTTAAATTCCACATATGCATGACATTATAAGGTATTTTTCTTTGACATTTTTCACTTAGCATTATACTCTAGCTCCATCAGCATCATTGCAAGTGGCAAAGATTTCATTCTTTTTTATGGCTGAGTAATATTCTGTTATATGTATATATGTATATATATGTATATAAATCACATCTTTCTTTGCCCTTTAATAGTTCCACTATTTCTAGTAACAATTCTAGGAATATCAAGCTTAATGCTTCCCTTGTTCTTTGTTGTCACATATCAAAGTACTCTGAAACTAAAGGATTAGAGTGGGAAAACTCAGGAAGAAGACCATGAAGTAAAAGGCATATACCTTTGTTTCTGCATCAAATTCTTCTATGGACTCTATCAATTTCCCAGGTTTTAGCTCTCCTAGTGGAAAGGGGTAATCCGTTCCCAAAATGACTTTATCCTGAAAAAAAATTTAACTGTAACTTTATGGAGCATCAAAGAACCTCCTGTAAATACATTTATATTTACTCATTACAAATGCTCCTATGATAAAATAACTAATTCCTTCCATTTAATAGAAACACACTGATCTAAAATGTTAGATTTAATGGATTCAAAACATATTCTGACATTTTCTCCAGCAGGTGTCACTATTGGTGTTGCAAATGAACCTCCCCATCCTCCTGTTTTTGAATAACTGAAATACCTATGTGAGAAGCAAGCATTTATTTCATAAAACATGTTGATATTTTCAGATGAAATTAAGGATTCTATATTTCTTAGAATGGCATATTGCAATTTATCCCATAATTTTTTTTTTAGATTTTATTTATTTATTTGAGAGAGAATGAGCAGTGGGTAGGGGCAGAGGGAGAGAGGGAGAAGCAGACAGTTTGTACAACAGAGCACACAGGCTTGTCCATCTACAAATATATAAAACAGTATGTCAGGCGATACGTTAGAATCTAGATTACCCTGGCCAACCAAACATAAATGGTCCCTATCCTCAGAGAACTCATAATCTAGTAAGAAAGAGAGATAGTAAATCAATAATGGCAGTCTATCAAAATAAAATAACACATTTTCAGCCAGAAATTTTACTTCTAGAAATGTGTTTCATTAATACATGTGTAATGGAAATATATACAAGGGAATTAATAGCAACATTATTTGTAGCGGCAAAATAGCAAACTAAATTATAGCATGTCTAAAAAATAAAGAGGAATGAGGAATACTTACATATGTTGAAATGGAATAATCACCAAGTTATATTGTAAAGAGGAATGATGTTGAAATTATATTGTAAAGAAGAAAAAAAGTCTAGGACAATGTATCTGCTATGCTCATATTTCTGTTGTATTTTTTTAAAGGTTTTATTCATTTATTCAGGAGAGACACAGAAGGAGAGGCAGAGACATAGGCAGAGGGAGAAGCAGGCTCCCCATGGGGAGCTTGAGGCGAGACTTAATCCCAGGACCCTGGGATCACAACCTGAGCTGAAAGGCAGATGCTCAAGCCACCCAGGTGCTCCTCATATTTCTGTTTTAACAAGAGACCTATAGACAAACAAATACATGTTTGTGTGTATATAGTCTATTTCAGGAATGGTACTCAAGAAGCAAATAACATTATTTGCCTCTGGAAAAGATTAGGATTTGGGGGTGGAGGAGATCCCCGCTTCCCTTTTTGAAATGTAATTCACATAATTTAAAACTTAGCCTTTAGAAGTGTATAATTCAGTGAGTTTTAGTGTGTCTATGAATTTGTGTAATCATTCCTACCATCCTATTCCAGAACATTTTTATCATACCAAAGTTAATCCCATACCCATTAGCAGGCACTCCTCATTTCCTCCTTCCTCCCTTCCTAGTGTAAAATAATTTTTTCTTTTTGTCCATGGAATTGCCTATTCTGGACATTTCATGTAAACGGAATTATATAATATGTCACTACTTTTTGTTTAGTCTACTGTTTTCAAGGTTCATCCAAGTCGTAGCCTAAATCAGTACTTCTTTCCTTTTTAGGTGGAATAATATTCCATTGTATAGATGTACCTCATTTTATTTATCTACTTATAAGATGATGGATGTTTGAATTGTTTCTACTTTTTGGCTATTATGATAATGTTGCTCTGAACATCTTAAAAAAATTAACATATAGTGTATAATTAGTTTCAGAGGTAGAGTTCCGTGATTCTTCAGTTATATATAACACCCAGTGCTCAATACATCAAATGCCCTCCTTAATGTCCGTCACTCAGTTGCCCCATCCTCCCGCCCCTTCCCCTCCAGCAATCCTCAGTTTGTTTCCTATAATTAAGAGTCTCTTATGGTTTATTTCCTTCTCGATTTCATTTTATTTTTCCCTCCCTTCCCCTATGATCCTCTGTTTTGTCTTAAACTCCACATATGAGTGAAATCACAATGATTGTTTTTCTCTGATTGACTGACTTCACTTAGCATAATACCCTCTAGTGCTCTGAACATTTTTGTACAAGTTTTTACGTGAATATGTTTTTACTTCTCCTGGATATACACTTAAGAGTGGAATTAATGGGTCATATGGTTAAGTCCATGTTTAGCATTTCAAGGAGTTATTTTTCACAGTGGTTGCTGCATTTTGCATTCCTACCAGAAATGCGTTAGGGTTCCAATTTCTCCAAATCCTTATCAACACTTGTAACTGTCTATCTTTTGGATTAAAGCCATCATAGTAGGTATAAAGTAGTATCTCACTGTGGTTTTGATTTGCACTTCTCTAATGACTATGTTGAACATCTTTTCATATGTTCACTGGCCATTTTATGTCTTTGGAGAAGTATCTATTCTGATCCTTCCTTGTCTATTCAAGCCCCTGTATCTTCTTTTTATAGTTGAGTTATAAGAATTTTTAAATATTTTCTAAGTATTAGAGATTTTTCAGGTATATAGTAACAAATATTTTCTTCATTCTGTGAGTTGTCTTTTTACTTTACTAGACATACATTTGAAGTACAAAAGTTTTAAATTTTTTTAATTAAAGATTTTATTTATTTGAGGGAGTGAGCAAGGAAGAGCAAGTGAGAGAGAGAGAGAAAGAGAATGAGCAAGGGGAGGGGCAGAGAGAGGAAGAAGCAGACTCCCTGCTGATCAGGGAGCTCAACATGGGGCTCGATCCCTAGACCCCAAGATCATGACCTGAGCTGAAGGGAGACACTTAACAACTGAGCCACCCACGTGCCCCCCAAAGATTTTAATTTTGATGAAGTCATGATTCTAAGGTCCTGGGATTGAGGCCCATGTTGGGCTTCCTGCTCATTGGGGAGTCTGCTTCTCCCTCTGCCTCTCCCCCTGCTTGTGCTCTCTCCCTCCCTCTCTCTCTCAAATAAATAAATCTTAAGAAAAAAGTCTCCAGTTATTTAAAAAAGTAAGTTCTACATCCATCCATCTACTCCATCTACATGGAGTTTGAACTTAATGACTCCAGGATCAAGAGTTACATGCTTTACCAACAGAGCCAGCCAGGCATCCCCAAATACCCAAATTTTGATTTATCAGTTTTCTTTATTGTTTATGTTGGTTCTGTTCTTTGATTTTGGCTCTTTGTCATTTCTTTCTATATGCTTATTATGAGTTTAATTTTCTCCTCTTCTAGTTTCTTAAAGTGGAATCATGAATCATGGATTTTATACCTTCTTTTTCCAACAGAAATATTTTAAAAAATTGAGGTGTAATTTATATACAACATCACACAGCTGACTCTCGAATAACACTGGAATTAGGGGCAGGACCTTCAACCTATGCAATTGAAAATCTGAACTCCCCCACAATTTAACTACAAATAGCCACTTGTTGACTGGAAGCCTTATGGATAACATAGACAGTCAAATAACACATAAACACAAAAACATAATAATATTTTGTGTGTTATATGTATTATATGCTATATTTTTATAATAAAAATAAGCTAGAAAAAATATTAAGAGAATTATGAGGAAAATACATTTTTGTATTGTAGTACAATTCTATAAAAATGCATGTTTAAGTGGACTTTACAGTTTAAACCTGTGTTGTTCAATTATATTAGTTTCAGGTATAAGGATTCACTGTTGTATATATTGTGAAATGATAATCACCATAAGTATAGTTAACATTTCTCACCATACATAGTTATGACATTTTGTTTTCTTGTGATGAGAACTTTTAAGATTTACTCTTAGCAACTTTGAAATATACAATGTGGTATTATTAACTATAGTTGCTATGATGTATATTACATCCCCATGACTTATTTATTTTACAACTAGAAGTTTGAACCTTTTGACATTTTTCACCCATTTTGCTCCTCCCCCCCCCCAAACCCTGTGGCTGGCAACCACCAATCTGTTCTCTGTATCTGTGAGCTTGGTTTTGTTTTTAAACCTGTACATTTTCTTCTAAACACTGCAATGGCCGCATTTCACAAATTTTCATATGTTGTATTTTCATTATCATCCATTTGAAAATTTTTTTGGGGGATTTTTTCCTCTGTTCCATGGATTATTTATAAGTATATGGTTTAATATTCAAGTATTTGAGAATCTTTATAGATATTTTATTATTACTGTTTTTTTAAATTATATCTGCTGGTCATAGGACATATTGATAAGATTTCGGCCTTTTGAAAGGTACTGAGACTTAAGAGTTTATGGTCTAGTTTGATAAATGTCCCATATGCACTTAAAAAGAATATATATTATGTAGTTGTTGTCAGTCAGTGCTCTGTAAACATCAGTTAAGTCTAGGTGGTTGATAGTCCTCTTCTGATATCTATATCCTTGATGATTTTTATGTTATCCTTACTGGTAGTTGTTCTTTCATTTAATGAGAGGGGCTTTCAATCTCCAATTATGATTATGAGTTTATATATTTTTTCTTTTAATGATGCCAGTCTTTGTTTTAAGAATTCTGAAGCTCTTTGATTAGGCACATATATATTTATATTTTGGATTTTACTGGTGAATTGACCTTTTTATCAATACGAAATATCCTCTCTAATTCTGGTAATATTCCTTTGCTAATCGGTTAAGTGAAAAATGGTAACTCAGTGCAGTTTTAATTTTTATTTTTCTTATTATACATGAGGTTGACTGTTTATATCTTCTGCCAGTTTATCTCAGTTTGTTTGTTTTCTTATCTATTTTTAGAAGCTCTTTAAATATTAGTGGTTTCACTCTCTGTCTATGATATATGTTGCAAACATTTTCTCAGTTTGTCAGCTGGCTTCTTTGCTTGTAATATTTTATTGCCTTGAAAAAATTTTTTAACAATCAATCTTATTAATATTTTTCCATATAGTTACTAGATTTTGAGTTATCATTAGGAAAGGTTTCCCGATTTCCAAGATATAGATGCATTTCCTCATATTTTCTTCTATATACACTTGTTGTTTGTCTGTTTTCCCCTCTAAAATATGAAGTGTTCCCATATGTTAGCACCAGTC